GGGGTGGGGGGAGGACCAGGGAGGATGATTCAACCACTCAACCACTAGATGTTGCTGAAAACAACAAATCCTACACACTGTGCCTTTAAGTAACACCACAAGAAAACACAAAAGATCTGCCATTTGGAAACACTTTGGCAGAGTTGCAGCCTGGCCTCCTAAGGGAAGTAAATGATCAGAGTGGATTATTTACCCACAAAAGATTTACTTAAATACAGCTTGTCAGTTAAATTCTTGTCTTGTACCAGCAGAGAAAACCCTCCCTATGACAAGAAAAGCCGACTGCAGAGCACAGCGGAGGGAAGACAGTCGACATTTAACCAATACAAAACTGCTCTCAGTTTGCAAACCACATCAGAAAAGCAGGATTACAGCAGCACTCTTATGCTGGGTGCCTTCTACAATAAAGATGAGCATAATACCAGTTAAATGGACCTCATATATGGAGCACACAAATCATTACGACCTAAACTTTGGAGCTGGTGTGCTCTAATTCGGCTGGACAGGCTGAAATGAAATCCACAAGAGACTTGATGGATTATTAACAGTGTTCTGGATCATGTAAATCTGCATGCGGACTGTCAAATCAATCTGAGCAAAAGTAACAGACTGGATCATATTGTCTATAAAAAAAAGGGACACATTATAAACAACATGGTAGATAAACTAAATAAGCAAGATAGAATAGTGTGAGCGTTAACAGGTCAAGAAAATATGTACGCAACTTCAGATTAAATAGAACTGCCCTGAAAACTATTTGAAACTAAATAGACATATTTCACTGTGAATCAAAGGAACGACAAAAACATTTATAAATTAAGATGATCTTCTAGGAGCCTCTGATCAGAAAAAATTTCCTGGCTTTCATGAGCAACAAGAATACTTTTTATAAAAACAAAAACAACAAAATAGGACTTTTTACTGGTAGCAAACATTTCAGTTACATTTTTCATCCTTGATTTTCTAAAAAGATATACAAACTACAATTTGTTACAAAAAGTATATGAAGAAATTTGGCTGTGCAATTAAACTAATTTTTATATTTCACTCAAGCTTTAGGACAACAACCTAAACAGAAATCAGTCAAACCAAAACGGAGAGGAGAGCTAACGTTAGCGTCAAAAAGAAATTCATCCACATGAAAACATGTAAGCAGATGTGGGTTTACTGAAGACTTTTTTAGCTGTTTGTGCACCTATTTAGAGGTGAACCCAGTTTATTCTGGGTTTCAGAATCTGAATATTTTGTGTCGATGTCTGAAAGCTGCTCAGAGGAACTTCCAGTGAGATGGATAGAAGAGGTGTCCAGTTCCAGTTAATAACAAATAAAATTAAAATAGTAGTCATCTGCCAAATTAAGACATAAATGTTAATTAATAAAAAGGCATGTCAAGACTATAACGACTTGCAGATTGAAACGTGTGCTTATTTTCCCAACTTGATACTAGTTAGCTCTAAATAAGAATGAAATCCAAGTGAATTTCAGCAACGTCCAGCCTTTTCCTGTCCTAAAGACAGCAAAACTTTGTCCCAGTGAGACGTTTTGATAGAACTGCTCCTTAAAACAATGGGCCTCATGCAAGAACATGTTCGTGTTCTTATCCTAAATTTCTCTTACTTTTGTTCGTACAAAGGGTTCGTACAAACATGTCACGTCAGATTCAACAAACTCTTCTATCTTCAGGA